CATGAGCATGGCCACTGTGCCATGTCAATTCTTGATGCCTGTGTTCATCTTTCTATTCACACCATCCATACATTGAATTTAAATTCATAGTACATCTCAATAGTTCATCACTAGCTCAACTAGCACAATATCATATGTATAAATCATAATCATTCATCATTTCTTTCATGGACAATCAAATCCTCGTTCCATCAATTATTAAACATAATAGTTCATGAATATCGTGTTTTAATAATTTAGGTAATCTCATTTTTTATGAAAGGAGATTTTATTAATGAGAAGGAAAGATCCAAACTAACCAACCCGAGTTACAAAAAAGATCTCTCCCTATACACCTTAAGAGCTTATTCAAATTTGTAGAACTCCATTCATGATTGTGACCTGGACCTCGATCATGAGATGCGACTGGTGATGCTTTTTCATATACATTTTAATTTGTGTGTTAGGTCCTCTGAAGGTAAGCATTGTCTCTCGTGACCAACCTAGCTAGCTTTGTTGCAAATATCATGATTTTAATTGGAGTTCCGTAAGTCTTGAACCAATGAGATAGGGGTCTCAAGTACCGTGATTTAGGTAATATCATATTTAACATACAAATTATAGGCATATAACATGTCAATCTTCACCTCAAATGTGCCAATAAAGTGCCCTCGTCAAGTCACAGTGTCAAATCTCCGGTCAAGCATCACCCAAAGTGTTGTTAAGTGAAATCCAAGCGGGATTCGTCCAAGGTTGGGAAGCTATTGGTCACTAGAGCGAAATTACGATCAACTTCAATGAGCAGTTTGTGATGATCCTAACCCCTATCAATTCAACTAAACATTTTCCTTCATAGATAAATATGTCAACTCTACGATCTATATTTGTATTCATGTTCGCAAAAGTTGTATAAAACGAAGTTATATGAGTAATGAAACATAGATAAATATGTCAACTCTCCCTTTTGAACCATTCCTATATTTGAGTTTTAAACTTCCTAGCAATTTGTTTGGTGGAAAAAATGTCATTATCTTCACGCAATTTACCCGAAAAGAGGTTAAATCAACTAAATAGGCCTTTGATGCATTTTTACCTATAAGCTTGAAAATAGACGAGAATAAATGATAACGTGCCTCATTTGACTTGAAGTTATCCAATAACACATTAAAATCTATACTAATATAAAAAGGGAAACCAAGTCAACTATAAAAGGAAACCAAGTCAACCAAGTCTGCCGTCTACCGTTGCAACCGTTCAGCCATGCGGGCTTTGGACCTCCACAAGACCACAACAATAAAAAAACACTTTAAATAATACAGGTTGGTGTTAGCCCACAAAATTGAAAACCCAAAGCAAATTGCTTGGAGGTTATTCCACGTGCCTGTCATATACGTATAAACTGTTTATGTCAACAAAGGGATACATATTAAAAAAAAGGATAAATATAAAAAATAAAAAAGTAATGCAGTAAACGAAAAATCCAAAAAAATACAGTTATATATACGACGGTTAAAGCCGCTTGCCGCACAATACATCCATAAGTTAATCGACACGATGGTTAAATTCACAGCGGAATAAATTCAATGCTTAGCTTCACTGTTTGCATGAAAACACTTTTATTTTATGGGAAAGTTCCCGAAATAGGACAAAAAACGTTTGAAAATTTCAAAATAGGATTGTCATGTTTTTATTTCCAAAATAGGAATAATTACTGTCAAGTTTGGAAAATATTGCCATGTTTAAAGTATGGTACTGCCAAAATATGACAGTAATTAGTCACTTTTTGGGAATTAAAAACATGGCAGTCCTATTTTGGAATTTACAAACCCCGCTTGTCATATTTAGGGTAAATTCTCTTATTTTATTTGTTCATTCTATGGTTTAAACAGAAGCCTTTTAAACATGTATCTTGGGGTTGAACACGTCAAGGACGGATTGGGAATTACAAGTGCGGTTGGTTCGGTGCTATGCCCACCCAAATTTCAACCACAAGCACGACACTGCTCCAAAACGTTTGGAATGCATTTTTCACGATTGTGAGGTAATTCAAAATGACTACTTTCATACATTTTTTCGTTTCATCAATACAATCTACTACAATTTTTATGTTTCTATGAAAAGGGGACACCTGACATTTCAACAATCACGAGTTACCAATCGCAAAGGTACACCATGCAATTCAACAATCATGTAGTATATCAGAGATTTTGATAAGCAGCATTGATGGTACACCATGCAATTCAACAATCATGTAGTATATCCAGTGATTTTCCAAAATGTGCAGTTAAACACTCTATTGTAATTTTGTTTGTAGGTGTAATGTATGTAGGACATATATATATATACATGTTTTTGTATAACTAATGCCATGAGTCTTGAAGACATATATGTGCATGCTTTTAAATGCATATAAATGTGTTTTATTTAGATTGTTTTTGTATTTTTTTTCATTGCATGAAAAAAACTTACATGTATAATTATGTAAAAATTATTGTCCCGTGCATCGCACGGGTATAATACTAGTATAAGAAAAAGATAAATACGAAACAGACATATCAGTTAATCAACCTATATATCATTTTTATTTGATGACTTGAACACCATATTATAATCGATTACTCAATATATCAATCATCTGTATTATGATTTGTCACCTTTATTTGATGGTGCAGATATCATATTATGGTTTGTTACTTAATCTACTAGTCATCGATCTTTATTTGATGACCTGGATATTTTATTATGGTTACTAAACATACCAGTCGTCTTTGTTTGATAAGTGAGTTACCCAAACATCATAAAATGGTTGGTTTCTAAACGCATCAATCATTTTTATTTGATGGTCCGAACATTATATTTTGGATGGTTACCAAATCTATCATCATCATCATCTGTATTTGACGGTCTGACCTATTTGACAAAATGATGTTGAACTTGTGAAGTTGGGAAGGATGAGGCCGTGGCGGCCTAGGGGCACCCAATATTATGTACTTAGTTGGAGTCTAGCCTGTTAGCCTATATTTCGGCCCATGATGTTACGTAAGCCCCTGAAATGTTCTTCTATATAGTGGTAACATTATAGTAGTGTAAATGGACTTTTATTTTGGTTTGATATCTATGTTATTATCCTACAAAGTTGTTATTATAAATTTTCTCTATCTAGTTTTGTTACTACTCCAGTCTGGCTCGTATTCTCATAACTAGACTTAACATTTCATAACAACAAAATACGGAGTATATAATACCCCATATTAAATATGAATAGATTAGACGAGACTAGTCCATCAAATTAATCATGGGCATTAAGAATTTAATAATTGGATTGATTTCATTCACAAATCAGACTTCGACAATAGTATAATAGAAATAGAAGGAGAAACACAAACTCAATCTCAAAGAACCCACCTAAACAGGTCACAGAAGACGTACAACTATACCAAGAGGTGTGATATACATCTCATCCCATGATCACTAGAAACCAATCAAAAAGACCTCAGAATGAAACAGACTACTATCTTGATGAGACGTTTGACTCACCGCAAAAACTAGCAACAACTCTCCAACGTTTCAGGTTAACTCGTCCGGAGGAAACAATATTCCCCTCAAAAAATTTCAATTGTTGATTTACTTTTTCCTGTTTCTCTCATTTGTATTGTTCTTTCTATTTCATCAAATGTAAGATCAAGACTCTTGTACTCGAAACTTTATTTTAATAAATTAGGGAGATGTTCCCTAGCACTCCCCCACGCATGGTGGCTTTAACTGGGAAAAAATAGATCATACATTTATAGACCATATCAAATCAATTTAGAGTAAAGCATAATAAAACTTTTCGTCAAAACATCCCAGATGAATATATATAATACGAAGTATATACTACATCCTTCCTGAGTTCCTGGCTTAGGAGTTGTATTGAAAAACTACACGATTATGTAGAAAATTATTAAATAAGATAATATAAATATATTTTGAGATATAATTTTGATAGGTAACTATAATCTTATATGTATATTATTTTTAATATTCAACGATTAGTTTATTGTTTGAAAGTTTAAATTATTTTTTAAAATAGAAGTGAGAAATTTTTTAGATAAAAAAGAAAAAGGAATACTTAACCACTCAGCTTAAAATATAATTAACCACCTAGCATAGAGTTGGATTACGCTTAGAGCATCATCAATGGCATAGTGTTAACATGCTATAAATTTTGACACATGTCAATTGATAAATGGAATTGTCATCCACCTCATTTTGGTAGACATTAAAATCGAAAAATGATCTTCAATGCTTTGATGTCCGCCCATATAACCAAGAAACGTGTAACCACTTCCAAATTCAAATAATCCAAAACTGATACGGAGTATTTAATCAAATTACTCTTAGAACCCAAAAAGCTTCTCGATGCGCCGGCCACTTCATAGAAATACAGAAGTGATGTCAAATTGAATTCTTTGACTGCTCAAAGGCAACAAAACTCTCTCCATGGATCAAATTAAACTATATTTTGATTGTGATTTTCGAAATCAAGCCACAAGTGAATACAAAAGTTATCAGGCACTAATTAAACGTTATTTACTCATTTTATTCCACAGTGTGATTATACTCCGTATTATTCATAAGCAGAGAGAAAAAAAACAGGGTTTTCAAACTGAAGCATTGATAGTCTATACAGATGAGTCGCTGAAGAAGGCAGGGCGCCGGCACTGCTAGCCTACCCACAGGACTGACTGCATCGGAAGCAAATCTTTGAATTTAGAAATCGGTTGCTCTCTATGGAACGTAAGCTTGACTCCAAAAATGGAAAGGTGAATAAATGCAGTGAATAATATTTTGGTCGGCAGATCGGCGGGAGAGGTTTGGTGAATATTTTCAATAATTTTGGTTTTATGTATGCTGAGTCAGCATGTCAAGGGAGCTGTCGTGAGAAGACGGTCATGTATACAATGTCCAAATTTTATTTTGACAGCTCGGCATTACATGAATATAAACATTGTGCATTGGAAAGGAATATTGCACGATAATGTTAACAGGGGTGACGTAGCGTTCATTTTTTCTGTGTTTTCTCGAGTAATAAGCGTTTCCCTATGCTTCGTCCCAATTGGCTGTGAAGTTGCCGACTTTGCTATATTCTAGCCGGCCATAGAGGACGCCTTCTTATCCCGCAATTGCTTTCCTCACCAATTCTCGCTTTCGCAGGTTCTTCCAAAATGAGAGTTAGCGCAGCAGACGCTTTCACTTGCAGGCTTGTACTTCATATTTCTACTCGTTCAAGATAATTGTTTTTCTGATCAATTTGTCGATTGTTGAGCAAAACTGCACTTTTTTAAAACTCTATGGAGTCGAAGTCACAGTCCAGATTTAGCCTCGGCAGGCAATCTTCTCTTGCGCCGGAGAATGAAGGCGACGGACGCGGCGTGGATCCCGTTGTCCACGATGAAGCTGAAGCAGGCATTGATTCGGGGATAAGGTTGATGTATTCCGCTAACGAGGGGGATTTGGAGGGAATGAAGGAGCTTTTGGAATCCGGAACCGGTGCCAATTTTCGTGATATTGACGGACGGACTGCGTTGCATGTGGCCGCCTGCCAGGGCCGTAAGGATGTGGTGGAGCTGCTGCTAGGCAATGGCGCCCAGGTCAATGTTGAGGATCGATGGGGCAGCACGGTAATTCCAATTCCATAATCTCGGTAGAAGACTGTTTACATTATATTGTAGGCTAAAGATTGCTGAATGATGTGAGTTTCTCATTTCATAAAGATTATATTTTTATGATGATGAATAGTTACCCAATTTCAGGCCACACCTAGAATGTTATAAGTAAAGCTAGTTCTTTCCAGTTTTGGATAGATACAGTGTATGCTAAAACGGTTGTGTGTTTTTCTTCTTTTCACAATTCAATTGGAGGTAAGGTAAACCCTAGATTCCTTTATTTCTCTTTAACATTTGTTATGTATCTAGTGATGCTAGGTACTTTTTTTTACTAGATGGAGATATGACTACATATTGATTTAGGTTTCACTCCTCTAGAGTCTAGACCTCCTTACTAAAGAGACTCATCACTGAAGTTTAATAATTGAACAAATGATTTGAACATGTAGCAGCATAAGAAGTTATTGTCATATTTGTAGTGGCAGATATTAGAACTTGTACTCCATTAAGATTGTAAAATGTACTGCTGGATGATTAGCTTGCTTAGTAACTTGACTAGGACCACTTTAGTATGAACTAGGTTTCTCACACTGTGAGTACATAATATGAACACTTTAGTATTAAATAAAAAATTAGCACTCAGTTGCATGCATACAGTAGATAAATGGATTGCATCTGCATTGGGTCAGAGGGTTAGATCTAAAGTTAAGTATGGTGACCACAGTATTTTCTTTCAATGCTTAGCTATCAACTGTCGTAGTTCTCCTTGTATGCAGAAGTATGGAATAGAATATGAGTCCTCTTAATAGAGGAGATGCAATCAATGTCTTGTTCTCACATTGCTGTGGTAAATGAGTTTCATGCAAGATGCATGTGGTTATGTCATATTTGAGCCTCAGACTGGACACATTTTGAAATTGCATATTGCGTAGTTGAGGCGTTTTATTAAGATTGCATATTGCGTAAGCCTCATTGTTCAATGAGGCTTAATATATATAGATATATACATCTATATATATAAACGAAATAAAATAAAACAAATTATTCAGTGAAAGTAAACAAAATTCATATTAAAACAAAATAATTATGAGGCCATACTTTTATAATCAAACATAAAATCATTTATATTGACTGAAATTTTATAATCATAAAAATAAAATCATACCTATAATATGTGAGCGTATATATAATACTAACTTTACATAATCTGGGATCTAAGCAGATTTTGAGCTCATAAACATTATGTATAGCCGATACAAATTGTGGAGAAAGGTATGAAAAAAAAAAGGTATGGAAAATCAAAGAGCTATGTAAAATTAAAATCTACTAATTCATGCATGTATATTATAACTCATATATTAGCGCATTATTATGTACAGCATTTTCACTCATATATTAGAGAATTATAATGTGGAAAATGACAACAGAGCATTATTATTATGTGGAGAATAATGATAGAGGACAAGAAACAAGGTTTTTCCTATATCAAGTGTTCACAGAGATACAAACTAATCTTTTCTTGTTACAAAAACTCATAAACACAACAGTGGGTTGCTGAAAGAGTGAAAGCCTGAAGAATGCACTCAGGAAGAATGCGAAGAGTAGGACTGGTGGAGGCTGTGACTCCTGTAGCCCTGTGAGTCTTGACAGAGGGTGAGGCAGTACCACTGGTAGAGGAGAGGAGGCTGTTACACCTGTCAGTCGAGACAGACTAAGTATGCAGTTATGCACAGAGGAAGAATGTGAACAGATGCGCAAACATTGATTATAAAAGTTAAAAAGTGGGCCGTGTGGGTAGGGCTGAGCATAATCCAGTCTAGACCAGAAAACTGGACCGGTCGGCCCAGATCGGATCCGGACCGGTATTACCGGTCTGGTCATTGGTCCTAGGATTTTTGCTATTCCGGTTCCTGTCCATCCCGGTTTAAAACCCAAAATATTCTGGTCGGGACCGGTTAGACAGGAATTTAAATATTATATACAAATACATTTATACATTGTTACATACATACCAACATATATTAAGTGATCAATAAGCTTTTATAGACGCAAACATTAAAATCTAGGCAGATGCTTTTTACTCCCTCCGTCCCGCTAAGATTGTCTCATCTTTCCTCTTCTGTCCGTCCCACTATGATTGTCTCATACCAAATTTGGTAAAGTTTGTGTGGCTCTAAATCATTCTTGCTTTATTCTTATTTTATCAATTCAATACCAACCATTTAAACCCACTTTTCCTAATAATTGTGCCACCTCCTCATGTCCCAATGTTAGTAGGATGGAGGTAGTATTTACTTAGTTTATCTTGTTGTGATGATGTTACTTACGTGATTTATTGAGCTATGTTTTATTGAATTTGAAAAGCTCATGAGTTAAACACTTAAACCATTCATTAAACCAATCGAGAAATAATATTAATTTCATGTATTAATATGATTACATTAGGACATTTTTTAGTTCTATTATAAAAGATAAAATGAGAAAAGGTCATACATAAAACGCCATAAAGATATATAGAAAATTCAATCTAGAAAGGTAATTCTTTAATAATAAAAACTATTTAAAAAAAGAAACATCTAAAAAAAATAAATGAAAGTAAAATTCCGGTCCATACTGGTCCGGTCCGACCAAAACCGGAATAATCTGGTCCGGTCCTGGACACGGTGTGCGTCCAAAAATACCCTTACACCCTCATCTGCTATTGCGTACGCCTTACAGTGCCGTATTGCTTATGCAATATTGTGTACGCCTCACTCCCAGCGTCACAGCGTATGCCTTTTTGCGCCATACTCGAGGATTTAGCTGAGCTGCACTATGAGGCGCAATTGCATAGCACAATTTTAAACAATGATTCTGAAAGATTTTAAGGATAACTTATTGACAATACTTAATTGAACAGCCTCTTGCAGATGCAGTGCACTACAATAATAATGATGTTGTCAAGCTCCTGGAGGCATATGGAGCAAAACATCCTGTATGTTCTACATATTCTATACTTATATTTTCTAAATTCTAAATTTCTATTAACTTCTAGACTTCTAGTTTATTTTCATGTAATTGTGAGTGGTGGTCATCTCAACCTCTGAAGTTTCTTTGTATTTTAGATGGCTCCCATGCATGTGCAAAATGCTCGTGAAATTCCGGAGTATGAAATTAATCCACATGAGCTTGATTTCAGTAATAGTGTGGGTATAACAAAGGTAAAACCTAATTTTCATGTATGGCAGATCAATTGCTCAAGCTCTCATTTCATTTTGATATAGTTGTTGAGTTTGCTTTACATGCATATGGGAAGGGATGGTCATTGAGGATAAGTGTGCGGGTGAATTGATTTAATCTGGTTGGATGAATTCAACTTAAACATTTGATAGCATGGAAGTGATAAGGCACAAGAGATAATAGGAAGTGGTATACTTAAATTTCCTGAGGTACTGGGCTAGAAGTTATTGAGAATATATGAGATTTGAAGTCTTTAAGAGGATTTGGCTCTTAACCTTTTACATTAAGATATGATTTAAACACCATTACATTACATATGGAAGTACCATGTAATAGAGCTAATCTAGAATAGGGTTGGTTCATGTCATATGTTAGGAGTGCATATGTCCCATTTCTCTATTCCACTCGCATACTGTCTGTAGTATTTCTTTTATTCACTTGGCCATATTGCAATTTTGCTCCTTGTTTCCATTCATATTCGTGTCCTCCATTTCTCATTTGGTAAACCAACTTCACAGCTATTTTCATATTATTGCTGTTGCTTTTTGTATAGTCTTGGGCTTTGGATGACATTTTAAGAAATGCATGTCAGGGTACATTTTGCATTGCTTCATGGGGGGGAACTCAGGTTGCTGTCAAGAAATTTGGCGAGGAGCTCTTCATGGATGAAGAAAAAGTGTGGGTTGGTTATAAGCTTTTAATGGTGATATTACATGTTTTCTGCCTAGCAGTTATTTTTACCTTTTAGTTTTTACGAATCACAATCCTGTATCCCATTTCGTTTTATTTATCAGGCAAGCATTTAGGGATGAGCTTGCATTACTGCAGAAGCTACGCCACCCAAATGTTGTACAATTTCTTGGTGCCGTTACTCAAAGTAGTCCAATGATGATTGTTACAGAATATTTACCTAAGGTACTATTTTGTTTTCACTTTAAACTCTTTGTTACATCCAAATTATACCTAATTGGGGTTCTTTGGAGTTTTGAATTGGTTGTTTTGACAATTCCCCCCCAAAAAGCAAACACATCATTTCCGGATTCATGTATCTGTGTACAGGGAGATCTTCGTGCATTCTTGAAGCGAAAAGGTGCACTGAAGCCCATAATGGCTGTCAAGTATGCACTGGATATTGCAAGGTTAGCAGAAACATTGGAAAATGTTGAGTTTCATACTAGCATGATGATCTATGCCTATTGAAAGATGCTTTGATATGCATAATTATTAATTTTCCCTACAGTGGTACAGTCTGAAGTAGAGTTGAAACGATGTCCTAATCACCTCATCAGTTGGTTACTCTAATATGCTGTGCATATTATGCCATAACTACTCACTTATATACTACCTTAAGTTATATGTTTGCTTTATACATGGACTTCAAGAACACACGGATCCTATTCCTTATTTGATACTATTACAATAATAAGGTGCTGTCCAGTGTCTACTATCTATTATTTCGTGCCGCTTCCACTTGTTGATCTTTTTTAATCATGCTGTGGCAGAGGCATGAACTACTTGCATGAAAATAAACCTGAAGCAATCATCCATAGAGACCTGGAGCCTACGTGAGTTTTTTTATTACTTTATGCTATTTCTTCTTAATAGAACTACCTGTTATGGTTTGTGGTGATATGCACAGAATCAGAGTTTTTTAATTCTTCAATGGGATTTGCAGAAATATACTACGGGATGACTCGGGACTTCTAAAGGTTGCTGATTTTGGACTAAGCAAACTTATGAAATTTACAAAAGCAATAAAAGAAGATAAGCCTTTGACAAGCCAGGAGACTTCTTGTATGTATGAAGTATTCTCTCCAGCAATCTCCATACTTGGTTATCCCATAGTTTTTTTGTGAAGCATTGATGTCGAAAAAAGTCTGATAAATCATACAAGCAATTGCTATGTCAATAATGTCATATTAGGTTGCTTCTAGGAATCATGTTAAAGCTTAATTCAAGCATGAATCAATATGTAATAAAGTATTGTTACAAAAGCAAAGAATGCATGGAGCTAAGAGATATTGTTATTCTAAAAAGTCTGCTCTGTATAACTTCTATACACCGTCAATGATCTAAAGCACCTGATGATGTTCAACCAGATTGATGTTTCTGTTATCCTTATCCCCATTTGATCATTATAACACAACTAATTACCTTAATTTCTTTCTTTAAATGACTGTTCTTGGACAGGGCGATACGTAGCTCCAGAAGTTCTTAAGAATGAAGAATATGATACCAAGGTTGATGTTTTCTCATTTGCACTAATTCTGCAAGAGGTACAACATCTTTTTTCCATCTTTCTTCTATCTTTTTATCTTTTATCTTTCTTATGTTCTTATGTTACTTTTATCTTATATGTATCTTTATCTTATCCATTTTATCTTACCTTTTTCTATTTTCGTATTTTTCTTCTCGTTTTGGTGCTGATATCATAGATCGATTCATGTTAGCTGACCTCAAAATCTTTTGGGATAAAGGCTTGGATGTTGTTGTTGTTGTAGTCAATGATGTTGGATTCTGTTTTTGTTTTGGATTGATGCATTGTGTAAATTGTGAAATACGACCATGTTACTTGCTTACCACATGGTCACTACCTTAATCTTTGTTATAAATTTACAGATGATTGAAGGCTGCCCACCTTACGCAACAAAGCCAGAAATTGATGTTGCCAAAGCATACGCTGTCAATGAACGCCCACCCTTTAGGGCTCCAGTGAAGCTTTATGCTCATGGACTCAAAGAGTATGCCATGAACTCTTTGCTTTTCTTTTGTTCTCTTTATTTTTCATTTGTACTGAGATTTTACTTTGAAGCTCTTTGACAGTTATGAAATTTGATTCTGAAAGTTGTACTCTAACCGCCAATGATCTCCCGGTATAAAATCACAATAAAATGAATAATAAAAAGAAGAAATCTGAAAATGTTTTTCAATTTATCCCCTACCTCCTCTAATCTTTCTCATGTTTAGAAACATATAGTTTGACCTGGTCTCTATGGTAGACAAACTGATAAATTATACATTCCTACACAATTTATTAAAAAAACTCGATAACATATGAAACTGAGTAGATCACACCTCCACAAAAAGAGTCCTTTTTGAATTTTTAATCCCTATGCCCAAAGAAAGGTTCAGCCTGATTAAACGAAGCTATTGTTTCATACTACCTCCATTCTTAAATAGATGCAACATTTTGAATTTCACACTATTCACATCCTCTACTTTCACTATATTTTATTTATTTAGTGTATTAGACATTTTTATTTTTGAAAAATAATTTTAAATTCCTCTCATTTTAAATTTACAAAATTTGATTTTTTTTACTTTTTTTTTACTACAAGAACAACATCCATGCCTTATTCCCAAAAGATTTTGGGGTTGGCTAACATGAAATGGAAACTTGGCGTTGGCAAACGTGAAATGGGAACTTTGCAACTAAAAAAAACGGGGGGGGGGGGGGGGGGGGAGGGGGGTATAAGTTAGTAAAAATGCATAAAGGGTCACAGAAAAGTTACATTTGATAAGTTTAGTTAAGTCAACAAGTAAAATTAAAAAAATGTAATTATGGATCATGATTTACTAAAGTTGCACCTGTCTAAAATAAAAAAGGTGTACCTTAGTCAAACATGACTCTTTTGAGAGGACAGAGGCAGTTTATGTATTCATTTGATTTGCCATGGGTGCTTCTAATGTTAGAATTTTTGAGTACCTAATGAGGAATGAGTAATTCCTCATCATCAGGTTAATTGAGGATTGTTGGAGTGAGATGCCCTCTAGGAGACCAACTTTCAGGGAAATAATTTCCAGGTTGGAAGAAATTCATTACATTCTTACTCGTGCAAGACGTTGGAAGGTATGTGGCCCCCTTCATTCCATTTTCACACTGAATCAACAATTTTAGCGGTATTGAATTAGACATGTATATTTGCTTATTTCTTGAATTCCTTGAATAGACAGACAAGTAAGTTCCTGTGAAACAACATTCGAGAGATGTGATGATAATTAGTTGAATTTGGAGAGAGGGGTGCCAAATTAAATTTAGGCCCGTTTCTGATTAGTAGTGCTAAGCAGCTTGGAAAGGTTTACCTAGTAATAAAACTCTTTCGCAAAGTTGTTCATAAAAAAAAACATTACCCTGCTACATGTTTTGTTGCATCAAAATTTTCTTAACTTCCTTTGCAACATGGACATGCTTGTATTTGATATTTGGGACTACGTGTGTAATTTCAGGTCAGAGCACTCAGATGTTTCCAGAATTTTGAGGCTATCCTTAAGATTGATCACTCTCATTCAAAAAGTCGATCATCTCACTCAACTGCTTACAATTAGTACATACATTGCAGCAATATGTATTGCTGCTGCTTCTCTTTTAAATCCAACACAGGGTCGATTGTCTCATTGTGGATTAATTCTTCAATTCTTTTAAACACGAAATGGCTTTTGCATTAATAATATTTTGGTGAATGCGCCCAACAGTCCCTTACATGCTATTATTCTCTCTAATTTCTACCCGAGCTCTCAGAAACCGAACCATATACATTTCTTCCCAACTATACATTTCTAGGATTCATTCTTGAACTGAAGGTCTAAATTCTATTTCTTCACTCGTTCCTTTCTCCTTGCCTCTAATAAAGCCTGCAAAACATGTCAAAGAGATTACAATACTATGTCAGTCTTACTGAGCTCTATAATGTTTCCCCAAAGGTATTGGAATCTCAGTTTACCATTTTGATCACTTCGTCGAATGCCTCCTGTCCATTTCTATCTATATAGTCCTTAACGTATTTCTGCGCTTCAGGGCTCATCATCTCCATGGCCTTTTCCCGTCTCTCTGGGAAGTTTGAGCTTAGCTTTGCCTCAACTTTTACGTATCTCTTCACATAGTTCTCGTATATGTAAGCTGCTCCATTAAAATTTGGTAGAACCAACCACATACAGAACAAAAGCTTGGTGAAAGCCCAAAATGGTAACCTGGATATAGGAAACAGGAAACCTAAATTGTAGGCTTGGGCCCATGAACTGAACCTAACTTCTGATAGTTTGATTTTATGGTTCTAGCCTGGTAGGAAATTTATCAATTCAGGACCCGAAAGATAGACGAATTATCAATCCGGGACCTGAATGATCAAATGCATCGATATTGGATCCGAATGATGAAAAATTATCAATTTCGGACCTGAATGATTGAAAACTACCAATCTAGGAGCTAAGTTGTCATAAATTTTATTATTTTTTTGTTTTAAAATTTTAAAATATTATTTAGTTTTATTAAACTAATAAACTTTTGTAAGAAAAAATTATACTCCCTCCGGTTCTTTTTAAACTTCAGTGTTTGACTTCACAGTTATTAAAGAAATAAAGTTGACTTCATTGTAGAGCACACTGTTGAGACACTGTTTGGCACTGTTTGGCACTGTTGAGACACTGTTTGACACTGTTTAGCACTGTTTAACACTATTTTGATGTAGATTTCTTTGCCAAATAAGGAAATAAGGAAGTGTGAAGTTTATTTTGGACCGTCCCAAAAAAGAAAGTGTGAAGTTTATTTAGAACCAGAGGGAGTAAAAAATTAGTAATGGAATTAATAAAAAATTAAACAAATCAAAACCTGTGAAATGGTAGGTCCTAAATTGATAGTTTTCCATCATTTGGGTCCTATACTGATACGTTTTATCTAGTGCTGGACTCGGGCCGGTTCGGGCCCGGTTCGGGCCTGGGCCCGGCCGGGCCTCGGGCCTGGAAAGTTGGGCCCGATCCCGAACCGCCGGTGGGCGGTTCCGGTTCCGGTTCCGGGCCAAACCGGGCCGGGCCGGGCCAGGCCTAACCGGTTATAATTTTTTTTTTTTGGCTCTTCTATTTAACTCCCAACCCCTCCCCCTCAACCCCAAACCACCTCAAATGGCCCAAAATACCTAATCCAACCCAAAATTTAAAAAAAATTCAAAAAAAAAATTAAAAACCGGCCCGAACCGGCCGGGCCGGTTCACCAAAAACAGGGCCCGAGCCCGAACCGCCCAGCAGCAGGGCCGGGCTGAACCGAACCGGTGGACCCACCGGGCCCCGGGCCGGGCCGGGCCAAACAGTAACCGGGCCGGTTCCGGGCCGGGCCGCCCGGCCCGAGTCCACCACTAGTTTTATCTTTCAGGTCTTGAATTGATAATTAATCTATCTTTCGAGTCTTGAATTGATAAAATTCCGTTGTTGGTAGGAAATTTATCAATTCAGGACCCGAAAAATAGACGAATTATCAATCCGGGACCTGAATGATCAAATGCATCGATATTAGATCTGAATGATGAAAAACTATCAATTTTGGACCTGAATGATTGAAAACTATCAATCTAGGAGCTAAGTTGTCATAAATTTTATTATTTTTTTGTTTTAAAATTTTAAAATATTATTTAGTTTTATTATCAGACAGTGCTCATGAATTTTTTTTTCAATGAGCGTTGTTGAAATTGATAAATATATACTACGTATAAAATAAAACATTCTTCAGTCGATTGAAAAATCAAGTATATATTCTGAAAAATGTATAGATATATTTGCCAAAATTCATAAGTTTGGTTTTTGACTTTTTGGTACGATATAGGTCAAGCCCTATTCTGATGGGAACTACTACGTATATAATATGCCTGAGGTTTACTTAAGTCTAATTGTCATCTGTGTCAGAATTTATAGAGGCACTCCAAGGGATAAAAGAAAGCAAGACTTTTGTTTTAAAGAAGGGGTTCAATGCCCCCCCCCCCCCCCCCCCCCCCAATGTGATCAATAGGATGAGTTAGAAGTTGAGGTTCCAAATATTGTGCATTTGATGTAGGAAGGTGTTACCATTGAAGGACCTTCCAACTTGATAGCTCAAACAGTGTGATGAAGGAATAGAGAATCCAATAGGTCAGCCATTGCTGATCATCCAGTGTCGAAGGGCTTTCTATAGCCCGCATTGATGAAAACCTGTGTGATATAACCAGAGGGAAACCAGTGCACTTAAAACTCTTACAACTGCTTATTTTGCCTGATTTTTAATTGAATATATCATACAGTGATATTAAATAATAGGGAGAACTGGAGAAGAAGGTTGCTCACAGAGGAAACAGAAGCGTCACTCCTGGGCTGGCGTTCACCCAAAATGAAATAAAAAAATTAGAAAACTTAAGGTTACATAAGATTAAAGAGCATGGAGACTATACAGGACGTAGTTAATTAACTGTAAGGAAATAAATAGTACCCCACAACTGAATGCAGATTTCTAGCAATAATGGTGAGAGAACCCATGACAACAGAAACTGCAGGCTTTGTTCACCTTTGATATTGATCTTTAAACGCTTGAAAAAGCTCGTATGAATTTAAACTGACCGAGTTGAATCTATATATACTAAAAGAAAATGCATGAATATGATGCCGCCAAAGAAAAGTATATCTATTTTTTTGTCTTTAATGTGTTAAAGCCTTCTTTTCCTCATTGCCAAGTAAACTGGGTAGCCAAGTTATCGTAAGCAAAAAGAACAAACGGAACATGTAAGTTATACTACGTATTATTGAACAAGGAAGAACATTACTACATACATGAACCTCACATCCCCAATTTTTTTCTTATATATAAAAATATAATTTTCATTTAGTTTGAATATATACGAAGTATGTCATATTGATTCAGTAAATGGTAAACAAAGTAAATACGGAGTATGAGTTTATATAGTAAATGAGTTAGGAAGCAGGGACGGATCCAGGATTCTGAGTCAAGGGGCGAAATTTTTCGTTAGTGTAGGGGGTGAATTTTTTTTCGTTAGTGTAGCGGGATGAATTTTTTTCCCCTAGTGTAGCGGGGCGAAATTTTTTCCCCTAGTGTAGCGGGGCGAAATTTTTTCGCTACTGTGGGACTATGCGGCTATTTTTATTCAAAAAATGACATTAATACATGCACATCCCGAACGGCATTTAAATCTTATACATTTTAAGTTTAGACAATGACAAAGACATCAACCAATACATTTTTAATAACTTCTACAGTGTTTAACCTCATAAATCGGTTATTGAATTGTAATTTTTGTCCACCAAGGAGGGTGTTCGTGAGTCATGACTCATGAGAAGTTTTCTTAATATTACAATAGTAGTATACTAGTATGTATGAGATTGTTATTTTTAGAATAATGTGCACCACATACACACACGTATATATGGCGCATATTATATTTTAATATTTTTATTAATTCTATAATAATTTAAAGTTTATTATCCATGCAATAAATTATTTTTAGAAACCAAGAAGTAAATGAATTATGTAATCTGATGTCTATAAATATTTATATTTTGGATTCATTTCATGTGATCTAAAAATTGTGTAATTAGTGTGTCTGGTATTTAATATTGTTTGATATATGTTTTACAAAATCCAGTACTTGTTATCTAATAAAGATAATTAAACATTACAAAACTAGGAATTTTTATATAATAAGTATCCTAAATCTTAAATAACGAGTTACTCAATTGTTTATTTGTTTAAGTTATGTAAATTATTTTAGATGTTTATTCTTTCAAATCTCCAATTAAGTATTACATTATGTAAGAATATATACTAATTTCGAATATTAAAAGCTAAGTGGGACGAATCTAATTAAATTATGAAAGTTTTATGAAAAATATTACATATATGTGCAATTATATATATTGAAAATTAAAAGCTAAGGGGGGCGAATCTAATTCAATCGGGAAGACATTCAAATGAATTCTTGAAAATAACTGCACACTTAGAAGCGCAATTATATTGAAGAATTCATTTGAATGCCTTCCTGATTGAAGTTTTAGCTGAAATTTGATATGAGTAAACTAGACTTGATGAATAAGATGCTCAAAAAATTTCATCAAAAAATTCCACCGGGAACCACCCCAAATGACGATGGCCGGACAGAACCTCCTAAATAAGGGCTTATTTGACCTTTTTTTATTAGTACATGGACCTATTTGCACCTTTTCCCTTTTATATTTTAACTGATCTAATATTGCATTTCATAATTTTTTTTTAATATGACTATAAATAATATCCCCCTTTCCTAATTTAAAGTTCACAGTTTCATACTTGCATTTTTATACACCCCATATTAAGGTTCCCTAACCAACCCTCCTTAAAAAAGGCACAAACTTAGGTATTTTTGCATATAAGTTTTTGAAATATTTGTTCATGAAAATGTGACCTCTTACGATTCGTGACTATAATAGTAACTTTAATTTGGTCATATAATTTATGTTCGATTTTCAAATAGGTGCTTCTACTATTTCTAATATCCAAGTATGGTCTGGTTTGGTCTGTTTAAGTTTAGTTTGGTCTGAGACTGATATAAGTCTAAGTATAAACATCTCAAGTAATATGATGACTATGCATTTATATGAATTGCATTTTTTACGCGAATTGCCCGTGTAAATTGGCAAATCAGGGGGTGTGCAAATGTGTGAAAATGTGTTACGGCATTATTAAACAATACTCAAATATGAAATTGAATTGTGAGAAAATGTTAGTTGAGGCCATATATGAAAAGTAATGCTATCATTTTAATAAGTACAACTCTAGTGCGATGCTCGGTTGGTGAAATTTATAGGGCGACGTTTTAATCAAATTAGGAAAAACAAACAAACACACACAATAATCAAGTTTGATGTAAAAAGCAAACATACACAATATCAAGAAATGGACAATTAATTTTTTCCAATTGTTCTACCCACTTTTTTGGAAAAGCCCCCCTCAACTCGCACGGGTAGTTCAATTGGTCGAGTGATAGGAAATTTGGATCAATGGACCAAGGTTCGAATCCCCGCAGCGACCGGGTGGAGGTCACAGAACCTAAAATAAAGCTGAACCTGTGGTGCGCACATGTGTATGACCTACTGCCACTTTGCTGATTGAGTCGTTGTGACTTACCTTTTCACCATCTTGTCGGGTCAGGGTGCAGGAGCCCCTGGGATGGGAGATTCCACCTT